ATGGTAATAAAGATATTATCATCTCATTTTTGTCCCAGCCATAAATTATAATAAACTACAACGACAAAAATATATAGAATACCAATCAGTACTCATCATTAGCTAATGTTTATAATACCTGAAAACTTATTTTTATTAAAGTAATATAGCAATATAATAATCATACAAAGCGCATGTAGATACGTCAGTTCTTCAAATAAAACGCTTCTGAGTAAATTCTATGTAACACTGAATGGTTCATTCTTATAAAGAATTATAAAGAATATTTATAATTGCATAAGTAATCAGCGCAGTTTATCAATGTACCAATATTTTGCCTGCCTGATTGTGTTCGAAATAACAAGACAATCGCAATTCTTCTTCACTCTTGAGACGAACGCACGACGAAAATTGGAGCCACGTGTCAATTGCCGTTGACAAAATCTTGCTTAAATCAAGTTCAAAATGTATTTCAAACGGTTTTTGGTGGTTCCAGCTTGAGGCTGATAAAAAAGTTCTCGCGGTCCTCCCGGTAGCGCGCTTTCAAAAGAAATTCGCACGCGAATGAGTTCAGCGGGAAATTGTAGCCTAACGCGAATCTCTGGCAGTCTGTTAACCAGGCTGCGACGTCGAGAACGCGTTTTCTCCTCGAGTCTATCTTCTTCAATTTCGTCTCTACGTTCTCCAAACGTATTTTTGTCTCCAACACGATCACGCGCCATCGATGGAAAAATCTACGCGCGAGATAACGTTGCCTGGACGTCCAGATATTGTTTTTGGTTTCGTCAGTAATATTTTGACGCGTTTTGAATTTTATCCTGGCCAACGTCGCTGCGAAAATACGTCTGGCCAAACTCTGCTTAGATTCCATTAGGTTCTTGTCATCTTCTAAGCAAAGATCGTTGAAATGATTATTGACGGATAAAGATTCTGAAGCCCCACCAATTCGCGAGATTGATTGTTTCCTCGTGGAAGATACGACGTCCGTTTGAATTTTTCTCGGATTATTTAATTCTAGAACTTTGATCAGGAAGTGACCAACGTACGGCATGTAAGGTGGATTGCGTTTCGCTGTGGCCCAAGTCTTTTGGTACTTTGAACAGCGTGGATTCTTGTAAATCTTAGACAACTTCTCCATCGTCGCGTATCTAAGATACGTATAATTGTGTTAGTACAAAGAAACTATTTTTTTATATTCACACTTAAAATTATTTATACGTTGTTTGTCCAATAAATGTTTACATATCTTATCATATATGCCGCGATAGAATCCTTATTTATTATTATGAGCAAATTAAAATGTTCTGCAATAGGTTTAAAAAATAAAAATATTAATAATTAAAAATAGATTTTGTATTATACTTTGTCTTCTAATTATTTATGTCGTTCCCAGACATATTTTTTTATTAGCTGATTTAATAAAACATCTATCTAGCTATTTCTTATAAACGTTTTAAATATTTTTAATTAATAATATCAATCGTAGGTGATCACCACGACAACCAACCGTTTTATTGGCATAAAACGGAGAATTAGAAGATATTCTTCAAATTTTATTTATTAATCTGTAGAAAAATTTACAGAAGTTAAATATTTATATTTATTAAAATAATATGAGTTAAAGGTAAAATAATTCTGTTTCAAACCAGTAATGGTTAACGAGTAGAGAAACCTGCTAGCGTGATGACTTCTCAGATAGGACCAGCTTCTTCGGAGCCTGTAGATCGGCGGAGCCTGCAGACCAGCCAGGATGGACCTGCAGGACTGAAAATTGCCGAGCGCGAGGCATTTGTCGGCGGCGTTGATAAATCTCGCCATAATTCTGGTTCTCATATCGAGCTGCTTGATCGCGAGGATCTCGCTGACGGTAAGACAGGAGATCCGGTGGCTGAAGGCGATCCACGCGCCCAGATTTGGCGCGTTGCGCGACGATCTCTGATAGATCAGTACCTCGATCTCGGTCGCGGGAATGCGAACGAAGAGATCGCGATCGATCGAGGTGAGTTGCGTGGCGAGGGTGGTGCTATCCAAGTCCCACACGGTGATGCGAAGGTTCATCCTCAACAATCTCCGCAGGTACGCCGTGCCCTCGCCGACGTTCTTTTCGCTCGTCTTCTCGTCGCGTTTGCGTACACCATGGATAGAAAGCACACGATCCAGGAGGCTATTAGATTTCCCCGTAATGACAGTCTCGGAATTACCGTTCTCGCCCGAGACCCGGCTCTTTCGTCGGCAGAAGAACTTTCTTCTCGTCTGCCTCTCCTTTCCGCGTCGGAAGTTCTGAAGAGACGTCAAGTGATGCCTCAGCTCTCTGATATAAGAGACTTTACGTAAGAAATTACTGATTGTAAGTTGCGATTTAAATTATAATATACGCGAATTATCTTTTCTCTCTTAAATTACTTAATGAAAAATCTAGACGGGCAGTTAAATTAAATTGAAATTGAACGCCCCTTGAATTCCCATTCTTAAAATTCTTTTAATAAGTTAATAGTCAAGTTTCAAGCAAGAGTTCTCTCAATTATAATAAAAAGTCGTGCAGTTTTCAGGATGACAAAAATTTTTTCCGTGTCACCTGTAGGCAACCGCCGCTGCTTGAGGTCTGTACCAATATTCCGGCGTCCAGAAGAGTATCACCCGTCCTCTAGTGACGGCACCGACGATGCTGGATCCGTTGGATGTCAAAGCGGCACACGAGACGCTGGCTGTCAATTGACGGCGCGAGACCGGAAGTCTCAGCTCCGGATCCGACGGCTGTTTCCGGATATTGACCGCACTTGGTGATCGGAGAGTCTGCACGGTTTCGCGTTCACCAGGCTGTACCGACCATGGGCCGAGCGCGTGGAAAAAATGTGCCGCCGAAGATAAGGCGTACCTTCGTGGATGCTTTTGACCCTTTAAGAATCGGCAATTGTCCTCCCAAATCGTCACGCCGCTCTCGATCAGCTTGCGAGGATTGACGACGTCAACGTAACCCGAATCACCGCGAAAAGGACCGAGAATCAATTCGGAATTGCATTTTTCCGGTATCCCGAAGCCGAAACGCGACACTTTCGACGCTAAAGATCCTCTTGGTCCCTTCCGATATTGCGGTTGACGTTTTCCGTACTTGTTTTCCATATGTTCTATGAACTCTTCCTCGGAGAGCATGTTTCGTCGCTCTAAATATTTTTATTTAACATTTATATAATGTATTTTAATTAAAATGTTTATATTCATAACGTATCGATTTATTTAATAAATAAATTGTATTATTTTTTTCTACTCATTTTCTCTTTACGTTCGTGCGTTTTTCCTTCGAGATTTTTGTTTCGAGAATAATTTGAATTTGTCAAATATATTTAAATAGATAAGAGAAATTTACGATTTTTGCAAGTCTAACCGCAACATCGACTGTGTTTCCCAAGAATATCGATGCCGACGCTGTTGTCCAGTTGACAGATGTTGCAAGGCGAACTTTTGCAACTCGCGGCGTAATCGCAACGACGCACGTTGCGATTTCTTGCGAAAAGAACATTGCAGAGTCCGTCGGCGCGTTGCAATCTCGCGCGACCGCCGAACCTCGTCTGACACGGCCAGCTGCGGCAGGATTTCTCGCAGGCGACGTAATGCGACATGCGATCCTCCAGCTCGTACTTGATATCCTCCAAACTAGCTCCGGCGAATCTCACCGGAACCGGCGTGTAGTGACCATCCATCAACTCGTTGTAAGATGGCCCGAGATACAAGTCCTTCTCGGTCCACGTGGGAGTAACATAATCGCCGGCGCCTCCATAATGGCTCCATAATCTATATCCATTTTTTTTAATACGATATTATTTAGACGGTATCCGGACGGTATACCGGAATGAGAATCTACACATTTTCGCTGAGCGAAAATCAACTCTAGACTCTAGACTCGTCTTTTTTTTACGCAAACTAAGCAACTGATGATACTAGTAAATTACGGTTTAATAAAATGTACATTTGCAAATAACGCGAATAATGAGACAAATATCAATGTTTACACCGATCGCCACCTGAATATCGGCCTCTTGCATTTCGCGTTGCGATTGCTTCTGACTTCGATTTCGGAAGATAGTAAATACAAAGTGCTACTACTCGACGAGCTTGCCGCCGTTGTTTCGGATAACGAACTACCATTTCCCTTGTACGCCAGCAATCTTCGAACTTGCTCGCACCAGATCCTCCAAGAAACTCTGCGCCGTGAACCGCCGAGCTCGTAATAATTAGCTCGACCGTCAATAAATCTAAGGGCAACGCGCGAGTCTGAGAGATTGATTGCAAAAATTTTTTCCTCTTACATGAAGATTGACTAAATATTCTCCGGACATATTTAAGATAAATAATTAATTAAATAATTTAATATTTGTTCAAATTGAAAGAAATGGCGAATCCGATTATTTCCTTATATCCCTCGTTTTTTTCCGACGAAGAACTGTACCTTGCCTTTAAAGTCCTGCGACGTCTTCTCCTGAACACACTGAGCGTAACGTATTCTAAGGGATACACGGACACGAGTTCGAAGCTCTCGATACTGGCGTCGATACCAGGTGGACAAAGGAAATTGGAATTAATCTGGAGGATGTCGGCCGCAACGATCAGCCTAGTCGGCGTGAGACCCAGGGCAACCTGACGAATCCCACGACCATTTCTCGTCGTCTCCGCGAACGGCGATTCCACCAGAATCGTTTCGGAAAATTCGTAGTACTCCGACTGCAGCAGCTTGCGTATCCTGTTACTCCGCGAGCGACCGGGCAACCTCGTTCCACGTGACGTCATGGAGGCGCGTGGCGAGGAAGAGGGTGGTATCGCGCCGCGCGGATCATCTATGAGATTCTGCACGAACGAGGAATTTTCAAAGCGTTCAGGAATCGTCTACTTGTCAGTGCCTAACCCTGGTGGATCGATGCTTCCTCGAAATGTCAGAGAGAAAGAGAGAGAGAGAGAGAGAGAGACGAGTATTATTATTCACAGACAACTTCTCGAGAGACGTTCGAGAGAAAGTGATAAATAAATTTATATACATATTTGTGAGAATTAAAATTAAGTGTAAAATTGATTAATGTAACTTATTATGTGTATGCCTTATAATACTGAAATTTATAAAAATTAATTTTAATTTATAAAAATTAATTCCTACACACTTTCTAGAATCACACTTTCTTCATCGATTTTATCTTATCTATCTAATTCATTTAGTCTGGGAAATATCGATAGGATTCAGCATTTTATGTGTGTCATCGGTTTTATTTAAAAATTCAACATCTCGTCGAATTTTCCAGTTAAGATTCGTACATAGCCGCGATCGCAGTAGATTATATTCAAAAGACTACGTGATAAATACTGGTCGTGAAACCTCGTCTCGATTAATAAGAATTAGCTTTCCATCACTCCTTACTCTCGGTGTATAATACGATAATAAATAAGATATAAAAAACATGTACGTGTAAAAGAACCTCACCAATAGGGGGAGTGCCTTTTCACTTATAATTAAGTCGAAATGGTTAGCGAAACGTGCAAAAATGTACAAAATTTACGAAGATACAAGATGATTGTTACTACGTCCTTCCGATTCGATTCTTATCGACTACTGTTCTCCGGATTCACTTTGATGGTGACTTTGTTGCTGAGAGCGGAAGCGAGCTTCTCGACGTTGCTCTGAAGAAGCTTGTTCGGCTCTGAATTCGTTGTTTCGTTGCTGGATGTCGCCGCGTTCTCGAAAATAGTCTTCACGGGTGACTGATTCTCCTAATACACCAAAAAACATAAGATCGTGTTTTTGTCGGTTTCTTTGAAAACTGTAATATTGTATAAAATTCATGATTAAACAATTCTATAAATTTTGAAATGTGCAAAAAAATATATACAATACAATTGAAATACATTTATAATAATTCTAATTGTAATACCTTCCATCGATCTCACACAATTTTTATGCGACCGATCTTATTTTTTATTATGTTTAATTTTAACTGATTGTTACTTACACCTTCAGTCTTTCTTCTGAGGTTCGACCTCTGCAGAGTTGCGGCAAGCTCGTTCTGCAGCCTGGACACGACGGGGCCATTGTCCGACTCGTCGGCAACTCCATTCTTGTCGCGACTCGGCTGCTGCGGCAAGAATTCCAATCTGGATGGCTGCTTCGTCTCACCCTCATATGCTCCTATCCTAATGGCCACCTTGCCGCCGGGTAATTTCGAAGTTTGGAGACCGTTGGTCGGCGAAACCGATGCGGGTGAGCTCTTTGCGAGCTCCGCGACGGGACTCGTCGCGGCGTCCTTGGGTATCTTACTTCCGGTACCGATGTGACGCGGACTACCGTTCGTCGAGGAGGGGCTTGTCACTGGAAAATATGTTGGCGGTGGTTTCGGCACTGTGTTAGGCATCTCCTTCAACTTGAACGACTCGATGCTCTGCATCTCCACTGAGTCGTCGCTGTTGCGATTTTTTGAAGGAAACGGAAGCGGAGGAGGCGGTGGCACCGAAGAATCCGTCGTCGCCGCTGCTGTCGTTGTTGCCTCGTTGAGCACTCTTTTTTCCTGTTCCTGAGGAAACAATGCAATGTGTTGATATTTCATTCAAATGTGTTACAAACATGTAAATAAATTTCAATATATCTTGAAATTCAGGACCGTATTCGATATAAAAATCAATTTAAAAGAAATATATTAGATATTTTATTAATTTAAATAATTACAATTTAAGACAATTAATATATGTTTTAAAATAGATATATATATATTTTTTTTAAATATATTTTTAATATATATTTTAAAAATGTATTCTTAATTTGTCGATGACACGAACGTATTAAATATGTTTTACGACTTAATAAATTGTCCTTGGACGAACGTGCCAAGGTCTTAAATTGAATCGCACATTAATTCGCACGTTGTTTCATATATAATTACTAACATTATAAGGTGTGATTGTAACCAATGCTTGTTTCCTCTTCAGCGTGTCGCTTATATTATTCATTTTCGAGTTTTTCTTATCCATACTCGACTCCGAATATTTTCGATTATAGCACTAACGATCTGAGTAATTTAATACGTCATATATCCCACTTGTGTTTTCCGTGAGCTGACTATTCCTTTTTGCGCTTGCACTTTTTACATTCACCGCGCGTTAAACAGTCATATGTATATATTATCCACTATTAAAATCTATCACATCTTTACACGCACGAGGTATGACTATAAATATCTTCAACATATATTGTTTATATATATTAAAAAGGATCTTCTTTATGGCAGTTTCCGTCGAGATTATTTTTTATTGTTCTAAAATCCCTAAATTTCTGCTTAAAATTTTCCCGGAATCATCTTCTTGGAATCATCAGATGTCGATGGAGGGATCTCTTTCACGACACGTCGACGTTACAAAGAGCATTCTCTCCGCTCCTCGCCGCGACGTTCTTTCCTCGGGCTTCTGCCCCGTTTCTTCCTCTTCGAGTTACGATCGCACGAAGACCTCGCGTTTCGCGGTATTTATTTCGCGAGCCGCCGATCGCGCGACACGACGGCGGGCGACTGAAAGAACGCGCGGCTGGAAGAGCGAGCGTTACGTCGTCTTACGCCGGCGCTCTTATGTAAGCCCTATTATTTTGCACGTCCGCCGCAATTCGTAGGAAACTGCAATCGCGGCAAAATGTATGGCACAAGAGGACGCGACGTCAGCGCGGCGCGGCGTGTCGCGTTGCACTCCCCGATATCGGGGATATGCCTCGCGGACGATACGAATCACCGTCGGCGATCTCGCGAACGAACGAATCCGCGAATGTGTCCCGATAACGATGATTAATGGACGATAAAGCGGCAACGAGCCGCTAATCGGCCTCTCTCGCTTGTGCAACAACCGATCCGTCACCGCGGGAAAAATGCGGGACAGTGATTCGCGAAAACAATATTTAATAGTTATCGCTATCAAAAAAAAATGATGAGATGTGTATCTCAGTGCGAAAGCACATTATTGCCGGTGCGCATCTTGTCGGTCGACAGATACATGAGAGTCATTTCCATCGTTCACATCATTATCTTGGCGATTCGAAGACACTCGAGATACCTGGCCTGGCTTTAAATACCACTTCCAAATTATTGATTATTAGATAATTAATTTTCGCGGCGGGCTTATCATTATTACATTAGCGATTAAACAAATGTCGCGCGTACGAAAATGGCGTGTGCGAATAATTGATAAGTAATTAATTCCCCGCTGGTTTGTTTCCGCGATCGAACGCAGTCTGCCGTCGCGCGGATGTTTCCCGCTCGTACATTTTCCTACCGCGCGATAATGCAAGAATTGAAACAAAACGTCGGGATATACGTGACTTTAAGGTGCAAACTGCTCGCTATCTCTCGTCGTTTCAACAAGACTACCGAGCGTCGTGGCCGATGTGTACCCAACAGGTATACACACACACACACACACACACACACACACACACACACACACACACACACACACACACACACACACACACACACACACACACACACACACACACACACACACACACCACACACATGTGAAACGTGCCGGTGCGTCAGCAACGACACGCACGCACGCACTCACACATGTACGTCGTTATGTAGTCTGCACACCACACTAATGACTTTCCAGAGTCTTCATAATTTCGTGCTCTTATCTGTTTGCAATGGCGGATCCTTGCTTAGCGATTGTGTGTAATTAAAAACGCGCTACTCGAGCCCGCCTTTTAGCTACGCCTCGAAAATACCCTCGGTCAAGAAAAGGCATGCAGACTCGTATCTTCATCTATTTTCTTCGACTCGTCTCGTTAAAGCGAAATTAACTTGATATACATAGAAACATCTACTGTTCATCATTGTTGAATGTGCCGCGTATTATGTCTTCGCGCGATCATTGACTCTATCTTGTTAATTACCATCCACCTTTGGAAAAAATTGTAATTAATATCATATGAATTCCTGTATTATATTTCAATTGATTAGATTCTTTTAATTCAAATGAATTTAATCGTTACGTTCCATCTAAAATTTATCGACTCTCTGAATTAGTTATTTATTACCGCTAGAACAATGGCTAGAACGGTTAAAGAAACCGTTCGTAGATGCGCATAATATTAATGCTTGATCGCAATTACAACGTACAGCAAGTTACGTCACTAATCGGTCTGAAAGATATGCTTATCAGTAAACAGTACACCAGACTGGCGTCAGGTGGACTATTGTTATCGCATAAAAGTTGGAGCATCGTACGTTTCGAGGCTCCACGAGGCGAAAACAAGCAAGTAAATTCGCAAAGCTTAGTTTTATAAAATCCAACAGAATTTTTCAAACATTTTTTTTAACATACAATAAGATAACAAATATTGATAAAATTTGATTCTTATAACTCGAAATTTAAATTGCGCAGTTTTCAAGTTCAAAAAAAGAAGTTGATTATTTAGTCTCTCTTACCTTCTCTTGAGCTTCTTTGGGAACCTGTTCCGAAGACTGCGCTTTTTGCTGAGCAGAATTGAACATCTTTTGGTGTGCACGCTTAAACTCCTCCATCAGCTGTAAAAAAAAAATAAAGCGTCGATTTTATCGTACTGCGTCTTCGATCAGTAATTCGATATAACTGTAAGGTGTAATGTCGCAATAATTAATAATCGTAGAAATGCCGTTTAAAACAAATATGGCTAGTGTTGAATAAGCGAATTGCAGCATATGAAATAGGCATTCACTATTTATACAGACGCAACTATAATTAGCGCATGTATACATTTGCAAAGAAGAACTGACCTTATCGTGTGTGACTTTTTGCTCCTGTGACCTTAAGGCTTCAGGATTCTGAGGCTTGCGATTATCTGGAGCTTTTTCCTTTGGCGCTTCCGCTTTGGCGGCATTGTTCATCCTCTGCGAAAGAAAAATAATACCAAACACGCAATGGTAATAAATGCAAAATACAGATATGATCAATG